AGAACAACAACTATGTCTATTGGGTTGTTAATTGACAATGGTTTATTTTGTTAACTGTCTCAGTGGGTTTCGACATACTCGGCATATGCATAAAGGAGCAGCATAGTGAAAAATATCTGTCAATAAGGTATATTTCAAGGACTATAAAAATGCCAGGGGCTAGCATTAACATGGCTAGGACTCCCATTGCTCTGTCATCACAACCAGGAACTTACAGTCATGTCCAAGCACAGCGTAATAGGTGTAAGGGAGGAAGCTGGGTGGCAGGATAGAAAATAAAGAGAGAAAGATGAAAATCTGAATGTTAGATACAAAATCTGCACTGACTTTTACTACATGTATACGTCTGTGCAGCAATCTTTGTTCTGACAAGTCCATTTGGAAGCTAGTTTGCCATGTCTTCAAGTCATTTGTCTCAATTTTCTGAGACTGACTTTTAATATGATGCAAGTTTCAGGTTTAAGAAGGAGGTGTTTAGTAGCCAACTGCAGGGACAGGCAAAGGTTTCAGAGAAAGTCATCAGTGGACTCACAAAATGGCTGCCACAAGGACATCCTGTTAAAATAATTGGCTGTCCCATTGAGCATGAGGAACCTCACTGGCTACAATTGCCTTACTTCACATCATATTTTAAACCTGCCTTTTGACAAATTTCACAAAAAAGTGACCCAGATGTGACTCAGATATGATTTTCAGTCAGAAGGGCAAAACAAACTCATACCATTTTACATTTCAGGGGTGGGGAATTTTGGGGTTAGACAGGAAAATGTGTGCTTTAAAACATTTTGATGCTTAAAACCTCAGAATTCCATTCCTCACAATCAACCCCACGTCTTCTCATTTTTAGAATACAAACCTAGACAATCAATGCAAAGTCACAATGGCCTTTCAGATAAAGGAAGTTGTGATATCCCTGTCTTTGACTTACCAAGTTTGACTGATAAACTCTTAAGTTCAAGAACAGGAGGCTAAACAAGAAGCTGAAATATTTAAGGAAAATTACCTTATCAGTTCTGTTGCCAAACTGATCCTATTGATAGGATTTCTAATATTCTAATAGTAGAATATAATAGATAATAGATATAGAAATCTTTTATTTCCATATCTAGCCTTTCTTCTTGTAGGCATTTGTAGGTACTCTTTTCCAGGTATTTGAAAAGTGCTTCTTTATTCTTCACACCTCTTCCAATCTGATCTTCTCAATTCCCAAGTGATTCATTCCCAAGTCATTCACTCCCTTTTTCTAAGATTTTGTTTCTAGTCCATAATCAACTATATTGGTCTCTAGAGTGGTGCCCAGAATGAAGTATAGTACTTGAGATGGGATCTGATTGACACAGAATTTAATAAAATAATTACTTCTTGTGACTGGGAAATTACATTTCTTGTGATACAGCCCACAATTCCATATTGTTGTGGTTGTAATGCATTCAGCCAGACGTTTAGACTTGATTTGGTATAAATTGCAAATTGCAATAATCAAATCAAGAGATGACCAAGGCATGAATAAATATGAGCAGGGTCTCTTGATCAGATATGAACATAAGTGTTATGCAAGAATCTCCACTCGCTGCCCCAATTATCTGACTGTCTTTTCAAGCATAATTAGAAACCTGTACTTCTTGCAAACATATTCAAGTGGTTCCATGAAGGTATGCAAATATGTCATAAGCATTGTAAGTCATGATTGTAGAGTCCTGTTCATATTTACTTTTAAAGGCACCTCCAAAAGAAAATATTTTCTTCTTCGTGTTTCCTTTTATTTAAGTATCGAGTAATATTGCTAACCTAAGCTGAAAATTTATTTATTTATTTATTGAGGGGCTTTGTATGAAATTCTCCCATTTACCAAGCTCCTGTTAGTCCATCTTGTTGGAGACTGTCTTATATTCCAACTTTACAGAAGCCTCTTATTTAGCAGGAATCAATCATGCAGTCACCCAAAATGGCCAATCAACATGTTTCAGAATACACCGCTTGCAATCAGCAGCTAAAGGGTTTTTCAGCACTCAATATTATCTCCTATATTTTTAATTATTGGAGATTTTAAGGTATCATTTTGTTCATGACTGTCTCTTTCTATTTTATCTGACGCCATGAAGACTAGGTAAACTGCCTTGGAAAAACTCTCTTTTAAAAGATGGTTTACCCTTTCAAAAATAAATTCAGAAAGAAATATGGATGTCTTGAACCATTGCTTTAGGGATTATACCAAGCTTATACTGGCAATTTAACAGAAAGTCAGAGATACAGAGGCGTTTGCATGCATTATTTCAGTGAGATCCTTCCTGCTGTAAGTTCAGCGGATGTCATCTAAATTGATTCAGCTCTGAATGGTTGACTTCTGTGAACACACTGAATTAAAAAAAATATACCAAGTAGATTATTTCAAAATATTAGACTTTGAATGAAATGTATGGCAGGTATATTTATTGCATCTTATTACCCTTTGCTGTGCTTGCAGGCATGTGCCTACATCAGTTTTATTCCCCAGGCCATTGGAATGAACCTATAAGAGATGGGATTGTACTGATTTTCAAAAAAATACTTTAAAGTGCCTTTTAAAGTTATTCTTAATTCTCTTTCCTCCATTTGCATATTCATAATTATTAATAGTAATAATTTAAGTAACTATTTATTCAGATATGTCTACTGCTTTTACATTTCAGTGTGCAGATATTTAATCAATTTACCCGCCATCTGTAATATGTTTTTACAATTTTAATGACTTAATAGCCAGCCATTAACAACTAAAAGCACAACAAGGAACCATATAAATACAACACATAGAACAGCTCTGTGCACATACTGTATTCCAGAGAGAGAGAAAGAAAGAGAAGTTCTCTGAAGCTTGAAAGAATAAACCTTTGATTCCAGTGACCGGCCAAGACTGGACTTTGCAAGATTATCCTGGGACACATGATAGAAGTTCCATCCTTTTCATACATGCATGCAATACCATAATGCATGTGCAAAGAGGTGAAGCTTTCATCATTTGCCTCTCGTTAACTCTTTAATAATAATAACTTTATTGTCCTTGTACGTGTATACACAGTACACCCATACAACGAAATTCACTTAACACCCAAAGACCAGATCCAACACACATACCAATCCCCAAACACCCACCCACCCACCCACCACAAATTGCCCGCCCAACACCCAAACATCCACACAACAGACCAAGTAATGCTGTCCAACAGCTCACTAATGGTGGCCCTTTAGTTCATTGTTAAGTGCAATTATAGCTCTGAGATAAAAACTATTTAGAAAATGTGTGGTCCGAGTTTTAGTTTAGTTTAGTTTAGTTTAGTTGATTTATATACCGCTCTACTCCCGAAGGACTCAGGGCGGTGAACAGCCACAAGATAAAAACACATAAATACAAAATTTAAAAAACAGAATAAAACCAAATTAAACAATTTGGCCGAAGACAGATTTAAAACACCCCAATAAATTAAGACCGAATTAAAATTTGCGTATTAAAAAGGGAAAAAGGGAAAAATTAGGCCAGGCCAGCCTGATGGAATAAAAAGGTCTTGAGAGCGCGGTGGAAGGTGCAAAGATCCGGGATCCTCTGTATCTCCGGGGGGAGCTCATTCCAGATAGTAGGTGCCCCCACAGAGACGGCTCTCCCCCTGGGGGCTGCCAGTCGACATCGTTTGGCCGACGGCACCCGGAGGAGCCCCTCTCTATGTGAGCATGCCGGCCGGTGGGAGGCTACTGGTGGCAGCAGGCAGTCCCGTAGATAACGGGATTAATTGTTCTGTATCTTCTGCCAGCAGGCAACAGTCCAAAAAGATTATAAACAGGATGGGAAGAGTTTCTGAGAATATTATGCAACTTCCTCAAACAGCGAGATTCAAAAATATCATCCAGGGCTGGTAGCTGGAGCCCGATGATATTCTGGGCAGTTTTAATGATATCTAGTAGATAATTCTAACGATGTTCCTTACTATTTATGCTATATATTTTTTTGTTACCATTAGTTGTTATTGGAGACTGAACAAACTGTTCCTAAAGCTAGCCTTTCAATATTGGAAACATTTGCACAATCTTTTATCGCTTATTCTTTATGTGTTGCGTCTAGATTCATAATGCTGAATTATATGCCAGAGTTATTTATGGAGACAATTATTAGCTTGCACTGATTTAAGATTGCAGTAAAAACAGCATGCAAGTCTGAGCAGACATCAGGCTTTTTTTATATATATTACTCTATAGCTTTCCTTAAAAGGTACTTAAAATTTACTCAGACAGGATATAATTCATCCTTTGAAACAACATTTGGGAACTGAATAGTTTTCCTGAAACAAATGGGTCTAGAGCTTCAGTTTTGTAATGCAGTGGTGTGATATCACAATATTGGTAGTTATTATTGTTATTTTTTTTCTCAATCTCAGACATAAACAAGGCCAGTGGAATTCTTTCCACAAATGAATAAAATGGAATCATCTATAGCAGGTGTTTCTCACAACAGCCCTTAAACCTTCCAGAAGTAGCTGATTGATTCCAAGTGTGAGTTAGCTGATTATCCTTCCTGAATAAATTTTTATTTGGAAAGAATAGAAAAATCCTGGACTCCTTATGTTATGTCCAGCACTGAAATATCTTAAATAAGAAATGGTGTTGAATTGGGAAGACCACATGTATGTATGCATGCATGCATACATGCATGTATGTACATATGCATGTATACATACATATACACAGAGAGAGCATGTGTGTGTGTAGGTGTAGGTATATGTATATGTATATATACATAGACATGCATATGTATATTGTTCTTCTACAACAAAATTGAGCTACCTGATATATATATGTCTGAATCCTGGTCAGATAGAAGTAGACGCAATAGGTCATGCTTTCTATCTAAGAATTTCATTGGGATGTTCAAACCCAGTAAGAAAGACCAGACTAAGAAATAGATATCATAAAGATCTAAAGGTACCTTTCTTGGAAGAGTTATAGTAACAACCTTGCAAGACTGAATGTATCACCTTTTCTCCCTCTTTTGTCTAAACTACCTTCTTGGCCCAGGCTCAAGTCTTGTTTATTTAATCATTGCCTTAGTAATGGATCTTCTCTCTGCTCTTCAAGGCCATCCTCTTTACTCATTACAGGATGGGATGGATAAAAATCATCCAGATTTCCTGCAAAGAGAATAGAAAAGAAGCAAAGTAGTTCAACAATTCTACTGAGTGATCCATCCAGATATAAGATAATGTTTTGTAATGTCCAGCAAAACAATCAAGGGCAAGGCATCCAGATTGGACAAATTAGAGGTCAACAATGATTCATAAAAGTAATAGAAGAAAGCTTGCATATGCAAATTTGAAAAAAAAATCCCACAAGCTATAAGGAAAGTTACCAGACTTTGATTGGAAAAATTAATACCCCATATATACTTCTTTAGAACATTTCTCATGCTTTCAAAACCTAATGGATAAAGGTTTTCTAACTAAAATTCTACTGTTTTAGTTAGGTTGACTTGCAATGGTCTTCATATCTAATTCAAAAAGTGAAAGGGACAACACCAGGAAACTGTAGGCCAATAACACAGTTGCCTGCAAAGTTTAAATTACAGGCATAATGGTGGACAACATCCAAGATTATTGAGAAGAAAATAACATCCTTCCAGTAGAGCAGAAATAAAAGAAAAACAATGGTACAAAAGATAAAGTTATGATTAATAGAATCATTTTGGAAAATTTCAGACATCAAAAACCAATTTACTGTATATATGGTCTGGATTGATTATAAAAAGGTGATTCAATTACTAAGATAATAATGAATTACAATAACAATTGGGACCAGAATTTCTGTTGCTAAGCAATGTGGTTATAAAGGAGTCATGACCAAATTTATGAATTTTTAATTTTTTTTTTCAAATGTTAATGTGATCACTAAGCAAATCCAGCTTTCCCAATTGACTTTGCTTGTAGGAACCTAGTTAAGAAATTGCAAATGGTGATCACATGACCTTATGATCCTGCAACCATTGTAAATACATGTTTGCTGCCAAGGACCCGAATTTTGATCATGTGACTCTAAGGATGCTGCAACTGTTGTAAGTCGCTTTTTTCAATGCTGTTGTAACTTTGAAAGGTGCTAAACAAATGGTTTAAGTCAAGAACTACTTGCACATAGTTGAATCATCAACTATTTGGAAATAACTGGTGTAAGTAAGAATATTAGAATGCTCATAGTAAAAAAATAAAGCAGTGGAAAATAGAATTGATGGTTGGAAAAGAAACTATGGATTTTTCAACAGGAGACACATCTTCCAGGGTGACTCATTATCACCCTTATTATTTGTCATTGCTATGATCCCCCTTTCAGTGATATTGAAAAAAGAAATCTTGACTATCACACAACAAAAAAACGTTAATTAAATGTCACATTTGTTTTATATGGATGATATGAAGCTTACAGATAATCAGAAATTGAAATTCAGTCATTGACGAACACTGTAAGAATTTTTAGCACAGATATAGAATGGAATTTGATCTAAAAAATATGCTACATTAACAATAAATTGATGTAAAATCACAAACAGTAATTCAATTGAAATGCTGTGTGGCCATGCCATCAGGAGCCACTCAAATGATGCTTACATGTAACTAAGCATTTTGTAGTGGGATGACATCAAGCATGGACAAATAAAAAATGTGATCAGCAAAGAATATAACCAAAGAGTGACAAAACTGTTAAAGTCAAATTTTGAATGGTGGAAACAACATAAAACCATCAATACCTTGGCCATACATGTAATATGATACACTATTTGGAATTATTAACCAGACACAAGCCAAACTGGACAGTTTGGACTGAAAAACAGATGACTATTTGCTATGCATTATACTCCCATGGTGATATTGCTAGATTATACCTGTCCTGTAGAAATGGAGGCAGAGGTTTACTTCAAGTCAAGTGAACTGTCGAATAAGAAGGGTGTGCATTGGCTGATTATGTAAAACACAGCCAAGAACAAGTAGTGATGCAAGTTAAAAATTGGAACTTACTAAATGTACAGGAAACAAAAATTAAATAAAGAAACAATGTAATAAAAATATGAACCTATCACATGGTCAATTTCTGCAAAAGAGGAAGGGAAAATGGATAAAGATAAAACCTGCCAATAAGTGGCTTGGGTGTAACCCCAAAACATCTGGTGCACCACTTGAACAACATTGGCACTGTCAAATCACTGTCAGTTGCAAAGCTTTATTTGAAACAGTTTACATCCTGCAACAATACATTTAATGCCATCAAACAACATCACTACTTTCCCAGGTCCTTGGTAAGGATTTGATAGGTGGATAAAAATGCCAAACCCAATCTAAACATCTGGCTTACTGTTCAATCAACAACAACAATCATCATCATCATCATCAACAGATTACAAAGATAGACACAACCGAGTTGCTAAATTAATCCTGTCAGAATATTCATGACTAGGAAGACATGGTAACAAGGTCAGCCAATGAAGAGGCATAGCAACTAAGTCAGCCAATTGGGACCTGAGACAGACTGGAGCCAGGGCATGTCTTAGTCTGCAGCTTCTGAGTATGTGCAGAGAAATGAAACTGAAACCTGTGTGTGTGTGTGTGTGTATGTGTGTGTGTGTGTGTGTGTGCAAGAACTTGTCTGCTGATTTGAGCTGAAATGAAACTATGAATCTGCTGTTGGTATTGAAAATTTACTTCATGTATTATTGTAAATATAAAGAAGTTAATGAATCCAGCTGAATCAGTTATCTGTGTGTGCTTCTGGATTTGATTTTTGCAAGAAACTCTGACAAATTCACTGGTCATTATGTAAAAAACACAATTTACCTGTATCCAAAAAGTCATGAGAACATAAAGTGGAAAAAGTTGTCGAAAATAAGAAGGTGAAGATCTTGTGGGACTTTCTAATACAGACAGATCGTCATTTAGAACACAACACACCCAATATCACAGTTGTTGAAAACCGAAACATACAATTTATTGATATTGCTGTACCAGGTGACACCAGAATCGAAGAAAAAGAACTGGAAAAAATCACGAAATAGCATGACCTGGCCATCAAAACTATGCAATTATGGATGAAACATGTAACAGTGATACCCATTGTCATTGGGGCACTTGGTACCATATCCAAGAATTTTGCAAAATACATCAAGAAATTGCAGCTTCCTGCTGTAGGGCCAGAGGAGCTGCAAAAGTCTGTGCTACACGGAACAACATACCTTTTAAGAAAATTGGTTGATACCTAGGATGCTGGCAGCAACCCGTATCAACCATCAGAGTCAGTCAATGATATTTGTGATACATTTTTAAATGTTCAGTTGACTGAGTTTCATGTTTAATGAATAATCATCATCATCATCATCATCATCATCATCATCATCATCATCATCGTGTGTTGTCCTGATTGTAATTGGAGCCCTTGGAGCAATACCCAAAGGGCTAACCCGCTATTTAGAAATTCTAAATTTTCCGGACTTGAACATTTTGACTCTACAAAAAACCACCTTACTCGGAACATCTTACATCCTCCGACGATACCTTAACAGTTCCTAGGTCCTTGGTTAGGACTCGAGCTGCTGAGCTATTAACCAGCCTCAAAGGCTGTGAATCTCACTAAAGATTAACTTATTACTATTATTATTATTATTATTATTATTATTATTATTATTATTATTATTATTATTATTATTATTATTAAAATTCAAAGTGCAGATTGTGCAAAGAAGCAGAAGAAATAGTCATCATATACTCAGCCTGTGCAAGAAAATCATACAAACTGACAACAACACAACACAATAGCCAAAATTATTCACTGGAACATCTGTAAAAATTATTATGTGTCAGTAACTAAAAAAATGGGTGGAATTGAAAAACTAGTACAAAATAAGGAAGCTAAAATATTGTGGGATTTCTGAATACAGAATGATAAAGTTTTGGCTCATAACACACCAGATTTAATTGTGGTTGAAAACAAGAAAGTGTGGATAATTGATGTGTACTATACCAGGGGATAGTAGAATAGAAGACAAAGAATTGGACAATATCACAAAGTATCAAGATCTGAAAATCAGAATTGAAAGATTATGGCATAAAACGGCCATGGTGGTCCACACTGTGTGCCATACCAAAAATTTTTGGACGCTACTTAGAAAATCTGCACATTGGAAAAATTCCCAACTGTCAATTAAAGAAGACCACACTGCTTGGATCCACACATATATTACCCTGATACATTACGACCTCCTAGGATCTTGGGAGAAACTCAAAATGTACGAAGGCCAATACCAGCTAAAGAACAAGCAATTGTGATTTCACATTGTTATATATAGAATGACCATTATTGTGTAACCAAATAATATCACAAAGATTTCTTTGTGGGGGTGCATCTGCAACTAATATTTGTGCATCCCTTCTCATAAGACTAAGCTATGCTAGGACCTATGTTTGCCTTCACTTTGTTTTAACACAGTACAAAGAGGAAGGATTGCTAAACTCATTAATAAAATGCAGTAAAACTACATAATCCTTTTCCTTACATAGCATTTTCATCATTTTGTTTGAAAGAAATATAAGATGTTGCTGTTTTTCCACAGGTGTTTGCATTTATGTGGAGAAAGTAGCATATGTGTAGAGGTAGAATATTAAATGACACTTATTTGTGTTGTTATCAAAATCAAACCACATATTTCACCATTTTATTAAAAAGAAAGAAAATTGGGAGAGCCATGATTGATAGCAAACTGTTTATCTGGTACACTATTTTCATATTATAAAATGACAGACTCATATGTGAAAATTGGGTTCACTACAATAGAAATCAATATTTAGATCCTCAAATCCTTAAACAGGTTTTTGTTTAATGTAACCATTTAAAGCCTTTTATAGTTGAAGGCATTCAGTATTCTAGCAGTGAAGCAATTACATGAAAATAATACAAACTGGCTTCCTTCCAGTTCCATACAATCATGATAATTGGAAGGGTCGAGAATGTATATTTTCATAAGCGATTAGATTGTTACTGGGATCCAGACTGAGCTAAGCAGCAGTACAGATGATTAGTAATTCTGGAAATGTTTACTAGATGTAGCTGTTGTGACTCAAATATCATCTTACCTCAAAGCATTTGAAAATCCACCCAC